CCCCGCCCCCCCCCCCACTAGCCTCTATAGGGACCAGGCACACACCAGCATGCAAGAAATACATAGACATACAAGCAGGCAAACCCCCATGAATTTAAAAAATGAAAAGATAAAATTTTAAAAATGAAAAGTCTAAAGTAGCTTCCTAAGATGTGCTCCCGACTTTTTCCCTAGGTTACACCGTGACTCACCATTTGTTGAACTTGACATGATGAAGCAAACACTAGTGTAAATAGATGGATGGCCCCGGATCCTTTCAACCCAGACACTGGCCACTTCTGTCTGGGAAAGGCAAGTAAGCAACAACCTACATGACAAATGTGAGCTCATTATCTACTAAAAAACAGCAAAGGTCACCAACAGTCAAGGATTCACTCTGCTTTCCTAGGTCCCCTGTTGAGGCATTTATGGAACCTAGGAAGAGAAAGGCTTACCTGCTGGTTTCTAGCAGAGTGGGTGGGTCTGAGTCACACAAACACTGCAGAAGCACCTGCCTGCAAAGCCACAGTGAGTCATGAGTATCATTGCAAATTTCGTTTCATTTTAAACACTTTTTTTTTCTTTTGGTAAGAGAAAGCATAAATGCAGTTCCTGAATTCTCGAGCAGTGGTTCTCAACCTTCCTAATGCTTCAACCCTTTAATGCAGTTTCTCATGTGGTGGTGACTCCCAACCACAAAATTGTTTCACTGCTACTTTATAACTATAATTTCACTATTGTTATATAATTGTCATGTAAATATCTGATATGAACCCCCAAGGGTTCACGACCCACAAGTTGAGAACCACTATTTTAGAGCAAACACTCATGTTTCTAAGGAACAGAGCAGAGTTGCTCTTCTGCAGCTCTCTTTGCAATCGTCCTCAAATCATAATCCTCTCCCACAGAAAAGGTGACCCCGACACCTCCAACAATCATCCCCTTGCTCTATTCTATAGTTTTGTTACTAGATTTCTGATTTTGCACTTAATTTCATATGAAAGCAGCTTTGGTTTTTTCTTAAAATATCTCAGTTATCTGTGCATCTTTGTATGTTTTTAAGTGACATTTAATTACTGTTCACATATTCTTCGTGTGTGGATGTAATAAAAACAATTCAAAAGGCCCAGGTTCTTGAAGACAGGGATATACCCTTATGACCCTCTGATAAGAACAATCGCTTTAATGTATGCTGGACACAGACTTCTTTAAGATCCTAAGCTAACAACCATGAACCATCACCAAGAAAATGAACATGCCCATCAAATTTATCGTGTTCTCAGGTCTACCAACCACCTGAGACTCCACTATTAAAAAGCTCTCTGCCCAAAGCTTTCTGGTTTTAGAAGACAATTAGCCTCTAGGCTCAACTGACAGTTTTTAATCCCAGAGGCAACTCTTTTTGTTTGTTTTTTGAGACAGGGTTTCTCTCTGTAGCTTTGGAGTTTGTCATGGTACTTGCTCTGTAGACCAGGCTGGCCTGGGACTCACAGAGCTCTGCCTGCCTCTGCCTCCTGAGTGCTGGGATTAAAGGCGTGAGACACCACCACCCACTCCAGAGGCAACTCTTTATCTTCTGGTCTATGGGCAAGTTCCACACTCCTATTTAAGCCAAAGTTATCAAAGCGACACTGTTCAGCAGAGTTTCCCAGACTAGTTCTGATTCCTTGGACTCTCCATGCTTAACTTGTTCTGGATTCTAGCCTGTGGCCCCTAGCTCCAAGTTAGGTTCTACATATTCTTTGCTTAGTCCATTTACTCGATGCAATGACTCATGCCTTACCATGGCTGCACAGGCTCAGTACTGAGTCATGTCCACAGCTAGAGCAGAAGCCTCAGTCACACCAACACAAGGTGTCCTGAGACAACGAAACACTACATCCATACTTCCACCTCTCCTAGAACCCATCCTGAGAAACAGGGCTATTAGGTAGTAGGGCTTACCCACGATCCTCATAGCTGCTGATGGACACACATATCTCCTGGAAACAAGGCATATTCCCTAAAATTCCCACACAGATTTCCTGTCAAATAAAATAACACAGGTCACAATGGCTGTGAGGTAAAAGCCACAAAAAATAACAACTTGAACAAAAACGTCTATTGAACCAACTTTGAGGGAAGGAATGGGGGAGGCAGAATATGAGAGTTTACTGCTGGCACCCAGATTTATATACTTGGCTTATACAACTCACATAGTTGACACAGAATAAACGACACAAGGAGGTCCAAAGGCAGAAGTCACAGATGAAGAAACGTTCCGGCAGAAAGGATTCTTAACACAGATGACTGATGGAGAGAGTGCAGGAAACATGAGAAAGCATAAGAGAGATACAGCAGAGGAAGAGGATAAGATTAAAAGGATTGGACTGTCATGCTCAAGAGTTTAGACTTAATATGGGATGGCATCTGGAGCTATGAAGGTTCTCAAACGGGGAGAAAAACACTGAAACATGTCTACGTATCAATTCACACAGTTATTGTCCCAACTTTTCAAATGAGGAAACTCAAGTCCAGGGAAGTCAAGTAACTGGCCTAAGATCTCCAGCTGTTATGTACCACAAGAAGACATGGTTGCTATCATCAATGGAGGTGACGGCAGGCATTGCATGCACAGAGCTGCAGATACTACAGGGACGGCAAACAGTCTCTTGGAAGGTGAAGGACAGTGTAAGCCACAGCTCATAGGTTTGGAGTTGCTGTGGTTTCCTGGTCAGAAATACTAATCATATTGACAGGAAACATTGAGATTATAGGACACAATACAGTCTCACAGAACAGGGTTTCCAAACTTGCTGGGACACAACACTCAGGGAGTTTGTCAGCAGTTTCTAACTCCCACTAACTCCACTGGATCAGAATCTCCAGGGTTCAACATCTGGAGCTGGTGCTTACCAAGTGCACCAGTAATTTTTATAATCAGTGTGATATCACTGATTTAGAACAGAGGATACAGGATTAGAAAATATGCACGCAGGTCAAAAATTTCCTGGAGAAAGTTGGAAGTGACACCAGTTAGGAAAAGGGGAGTCGGGGCTTGTGGCATTGAAGGAATAGAGCTGTGTCTTCAGAGAGTAAGAACTGGAGTTACGCCAGCTGTGGTGACACTAAGGTGGCAGCAGGGGCATGCCCCTATAACCACAGGGCTTTGAGGGTTGAGGCAGAGACTGCAAGCTCAACCACATATCATAAGCATGCCCGAGCTCACTATGGAAATAACTATAAAGAGAACAGGGGTGTACACCCTAGACAGAGTCCAGACTCAGGCACAGGAAGAGATAGGAAGGGACAAAAGCAGATGAAAGTACGAGACGGACAGAAGAGAGTTTTAGTAAAATACAAGTGATTCAAACATTAGGAAAAGCACAAGCAATTCCAGGCAGAAAACACACATTCTCTTATAAACTAGAGAGGAAGGAGTGAACTTTCTGCTGAAGACCTACCTCCTGTCTAGGCTGCTCATGAGAATCCCTGGAAGATGTCAACAATTATCAGACTCCCACAAATGGAGATGTGGCCTGACTTTTGAAGGTCCTCCAGGACAAAGTTTTGGAAAAGGTCTAAAGTATTGACATTACCTGGGAACACAGTGGACACCTGGGTCCTTCTCTGATGTACTGGGCTAGACAATCTTGAGGTGGGCTTGGTATCAGTGATCTGGTACATGGTGACATTTAAGACCAGTGGCCTTAAAGCTGAGAACCACTGTTGTAGCACACTGTGGCCAGGACACATTTCCAGGAGTATAGCTAATTCCTGAACTAATCATGACTCATATATATATATATATATATATTAATTAAAATCAGGGAGAAAATGCCACAAAATTGTCAACACTTTATGTTAATATAAGGACCTGATATGGGTGGAGCAGTCTTCAAAATAAAATCTTAGCAGTCAAGAGCACTGTCTGCTCTTCCTTTGAGGCACTCACATCGTGGCTCACAACCATCTATTGGGATCTACTGCCCTCTTCTAGCCTGCAGACATACATGCTGACAAAGCATATACCAATTTTTAAAAATATTAATTCAACATTCAATTTGTAATATACTCTGTGGAATTTTCTACTTTGTCTCAAAGAAAAAGGAGCAACAATAGGGTTATTCTGGAGCTGGGCATAGGCTCCAACTCCATCTTCATCTTTACAAGCTGTGTGGAGATATATCTTAGTCTGAGATGTAGTTCTTTTATCCATTAGGTGTGTCTCAGAGGAGGAGAAAGGCAAACAGTAGAGAGTGGATGTTCATAAACTACAATCACTCAGCACATACTCACAGTCATGCATCACACGCACTGCACATAAATAAATGGCAGGAAAGCCCAGGACACTGCACCACTCCTGTGGTTCCATCTGTTGTTCTTGGGAGCTTGCTCTCAGCAAAGACCACAAGGCAGAAAAGTGGCACACTGAATAACAGGCTGAAAGGGAAGGGAAGGCCAGCAAGGGTGGCATGCTGTCATCTGGCAGAATGCACTCAGGCTAAGTACCCTGGTCAGCCCAGGTACAAAGGACCCTTTAAAAGAAAGTCTTCTGCCCACTTACATCCTCTTTCTGCTCTCTCTTTCCAGCTGTTTCCCTGGGGCAGACAGGACTTTTCCTGTCTCCCTCTTTTCTTCTGTCCTCTCTGTCTCTGTGTCTCTTTTTGTCTTTTCTCTTTCCTTCCCCCCTTCCCTTTCTAATAAAACTTCGCACTAAGCTCTGTCTGCCTGGTTTGTTTGTCCTTCTGCCTAGGTTATCCTGGCTGCCATGGAATTTGCCAAGGTTCACCACACTTTATCATAACAGATGGAATGCGGACAGCTCTCCACCAGAAAGAACATTAGGGTAGATTTTACATGGGAGAGTTCTCACAATCAGACTTTGGGAGTCCTGAGCAACATCAACTTTAACAGGTTTATAGGCAATGGAGAGCTTTGTGAATAGAAAGAACAAGGAACTGAGAAATAAGCAGCAGGTCTAGGCGCTTCACATATTAGCAACCAAGCATGGTTATGCCAACATCGTTTTCCACAGCTAGTAAATCAAATTATTGATCTCCCTAATCTAATCCAAATCTAAAATTCTACATATCTAGTCATTTCAAGGAATGCATTACCTAAAAATGTTCAATACATATTTGTACACTGATTTATTGGCTTGTAGCCAGCAAGCAAAAAAAGAGAAAAGAATTATAAATACTTACTCTTAAGCGGGGACACTTGGATTTGGCTAGTACTCCCATGAATATGTCAGCAGCCTTAAATTCTTGAAGAAATAAAGCCACATCCTACAAACAAAAATGATCAGCAATTTAGATGCTGCATACTGCTCACGTTCTATAATTCAGACAACCCTAAAAGTTTAATTTCATGCTTTCTTCCTTTCATCCACAAGGGAAAAATCAAAGGTCGGGAACTGTGTCAAAAAGACAAAAGTAAGACAGGAAGTGTTGGTACACACTTTTAATCCCAGCACTCGGGAGACAGAGATGGGCGGATCTCTGTAAATTCAAGGCCTGCCTGATCTACAGAATAAGTTCCAGGTCTTATAGAGAAACCCTGTCTTGAATAAACAAAAGAAAACAAAAACAAAAAACTCCAACCAAATAAAAAGGCAAAAGTAACATAAGAGCCTTTGTGGTACCTGTTCTCAAGACAGTAGAACAATCCCACAAACAAATCTGACTGTGACACACCAGAGAATAGTTCTTTTATTCTGTACTCAATACATTTTTTTTTCTGTACACTTGGAATTCTAATTAACTTATCCAAACACATTTGCTGACTGCCAGATATTAAATTAGAAGCTGGGGTTGAGAAAGGGATATGGGGAAAGAGTCAATTCCTAAATCCTACCCTATAAGAACTTAAAACTGAGATAGGCGCTACTGGGTTTAATATTGGAACTTGGGTTTCAATTAATAGAAAAAAAAAAAATCTGATCACAATGTAACTACAACAGCCTGGAACTTTCCCCTAGAGATTTTGTTCTACCCATGTCACCTAAAGGGGCACATCTCACAGGTAAACCTAGAGTGGACATGTGACACCAAAGAGATGGCTCTCACCTAGTAAGATGAGAGGTACAAAAGATTAATCTGTTAGCTGTGTGATATGCCTACTATAAAACATACAACACATAATAAAGTTTCAATCAATGATGAGCATGTATCTATGTCAGTAGCTGCATGAAATTATACTACCTAGTAATGTCAGAACTACCTTAGTTCACATTTATGTTAAATACACTATGATGTCCATAGGATGAATGTTCAAGATACTTTTTTAACATTAATAGCTGCTGGACTTCATACCCTGAACCACAATCTGGACTGACTACAGGCACTGAGTCAGGCCTTTTCTCGAACAACGAAGGAATGACTCTTTTTAAAAACCTCCTCACTCTTGTGTCTTTTCAGAATTTCACTTCCATCCTCATACCTCATCCATGGACATATCCCAGACTCTGCAGATTTCATTTTCCATTTCTTCAGCAAGCTCTATCTGTTGCTCATCATCATCCGAGCTGGACTTGTCACTTTCAGGTGTGACAATCTTCAGAAACAAAGAAAAAAGATCAGTCAAAATACTCAAGAGTTCTTCAAGGAATATTACCACTTAGAGTCTCCAAGAGAGTATCCTGGAAGTATTTCCTCTGGCAAAATAGTTCCTAAAAACTAATGCCTTGGATAGATCTGCACATCCAATATTCTTGGAGTAAATACACTCTGCAGGCAGTACAACAGAAAAAAAACAGGAATAACAACAATATAACCTTTCACTTTCAAGCTATTTAGGATTAGTGTAGGAAAGACATAAACAGTCACACTGGAAAAGGCGGACTTAGCTGAACTGGTGAAGAGTTATGGCAGGAAAAATGAAGAACCAAGGACTTATTCCTGGGAGAAGAAAGACATTTCTCTTAAAAGCAGAAAGTGAAATCTTAGGGGAAGGGTGAGACTCTGTCCTGGGAAAATTAGATGAGCATTCAAGGTTGAGCACAAGAGTTCAGAAAGCATAGCACATGTTTGGCGATGGCTAACAGTCTACTGGGGATGGAATGCAATGCATCTAAGTATGAGAGGGTAGGAGAAGAGGGTGCAACCAGCCTTGGATCCCCAGTTAAGAAACAGAAAGTTTTCCCTTATGAGCAACAAGAACACCCTTTAAAAATAATAAAAAGGAATATTGTTTGACCACTATGTAGAAAATGGCTCCGAAAAAAACAAAACAACAAAAACAGGAACTGGCAGCATGGAAGGCAGTGTGCTGAGAAATCTGACATTCTCCTATAAACCAAACACCATTTCAAACACTCTACTGTCATTATAATCTCAATCTATAAACAACCTTGCGTACGATACTACTGGTTATCGTATTTTATACGAACTGTGAAGGAAACCGAGGTTCTGGGTTAACCAGTCTCGCTTCCAGTATGGGGTGAGCTCGCGTCTTGGAGATCAAGGTTGTCTGACTATAACAAGAACCGACGAAAACAGGAAAGGTAGGTCTTGACTTCAGAAGTGACAGTGGGGTTGGTGAGCAAAATCCGAGCAAAGTGGTGATACTCTGGAAGAGTCAGGAAACTGGCCCCCCCCAACCTCCAGC